TTCAAAATGCGCAATCCCCAAGAAGTCTGCAAAACCTAGCTAACCCTACCCTGCTTGCCACACATAAGCCCTCTCCTACAATTCTAACTTGTTATTACCTTGTCCCTGGGTGCTACCCCCTGGCATGGTCCTGTGTCACAGGTCTCAGAGTGGTTTCCTTTCTGAGACCTGTAAATAATAAATTCTGTATGTTTTTTAGCCTTCCTGTGTGAGTTACTTCTTCATGCCACACCTGGAGACCATCCAAGACACTCACAAATCTCTTTGGTTCAAAAGAATACAGAATCAAAGAAGAAATCACAAAGGAAATGGGAAAATACTTACTGGTGAATAAAAAATTATATAACATACCAAAACATATAGAAAGCAGTGAACAGAGTGCTCAGAGGGAAATTTGTAGCTGTAAATGCCTACACTAAAAAAAAAAAAAAAAAAAAGATATCAAATCAAAAATTAACTGTACACCTTGAGGAATTAAAAAAAGAAGAGCAAACTAAACCCAAAACTAGCAGAAGAAAGGAAATAATAAAGATTGGAGCAGAGATAAACAAAATAGAGAATACTAAAACAATAGAGAGAATCAACAAAACTAAAAGTTGTTGCTTTGAAAAGATCAACAAAATTGACAAACCTTTAGCTAGATTGACTAAGAAAAAAGAGATGATGCAAACAACCAAAATCAGAAATGAAAGTGGGGATATTACCACTGATTTTACATAAATAAAAAGGAATATAAGACAATACTATGAACAATTATACATCACCAAATTTGAAGAAACAATAGGAAATGAACAAATTCTTAGAAATAGTCAAAATACCAAACCGAATCAAGAGCAAATGGAAAATCTGAACAGACCTATAACAAATAAAGAAAGTGAATCAGTAATCAAAAACCTCCTAACAATAATCAAAAAAAGCCCATGAGCAGACTGGTGAACTCTACCAAACATCTAAAGAAGAATGATCATCAATCCTCCACAAATTCTTCCAAAAAACAGAAGAGTAAGGAACACTTTGTAACTCATTCTATGAGGTCAGCATTACTCTGATATCATTACTAGGCAAAGACACCACAAGAAAGAAAAACTACAGGCCAATATCCATTGTGAATATAAATGCAAAAAAATCCTCAACAAAATATTAGCAATCCAAACTTATCAGCACATTTAAAGAATCATACACTAGGACCAAGGGAAATTATCTCCAGAATGCAATGGCAGTTCAACATACAAAAATCAATCCATGTAACACACCACATGAACAGAATGAAGGAGAAGAATCACACGATCATATCAATTGATGCAGAAAAAGAATTTGACAAAATTCAACACTGTTTCATGATAAACACACTCCATAAAATAAGGATGGAAAGTGTCTATCTTAGGATGAAATCTCTAAAGAGTAAAACCAGTGAAGTAAATACACGAACAAAGAAAGATTTATTTCAAGAAAATGGCTTATGCATTTGTGGAGGCTGGCAAGTCCCAAATCCATGGGTCAGGCAGAAGGCATCTACTTACATGGGTGCAGGGACTGATGAACCCAAAATCAGCTGGTCAGGAGGAAGGCTGCTGGCTCACTGGGCTCCGGGGGTAGGTGAATCTCAAAATCTGCAGGTTAAGCAGCAGCCTGCTGGCTCACATCCCATGAACCAGAAGTCAGAGGATGACAAGTCAGATGCCGAATCGAGAAAAAGTGAGCTTTGCCAGAACTTCCATATATACCAGGAGCAGGCCACACTCCCAAGAAAATTCCCCTTTCAAATGATTGGCTGGTCTTGTCACATCACAAAATGGAGGCTGATTACATAATATCTGTCAAACCACTGAAAATCATGGCCTAGCCAAGTTGACATATAACCTTAACCATCACAGAAACGTACTTTCCTCAATGTGGCAATGGTCATCTATGGAAAACTCATGGGTAATATACCCAATGTTGAGAGACTGGAAGCTTTTCCTATAAGATCAGGAACAAGACAAGGATGCCTACTTTCACCACATCTATTCCACATAGTACTGGAAGTTATAGGCAAAGCAATTAGGCAAGAAAAATAAAATGCACCCAAATTGGAAAGGAAGAAGTAGAATTATCTCTGTTCACAGATGGCATGACCTTATGTGTAGAAAATCCTTAAAAATAGAAAAAAAAAAAAAAAAACTTAGAATAAATAAGTTCAGCAAAGTTGTAGGATACAAAATCAACACCAAAACATATCAGTCACAATTCTGTACACTAGTAATGAACAATCTGAAAAGAAATTAAGACAAAAATTCCAGTTACAATAGCATCAAAAACACTAAAGTACTTAGGAATAAATTTAACTAAGGAGGCAAAAGACTTCTACATGGAAAACTACAAAACACTGCTAAAAGAAACTAAAACAGACCTGAATAAATGGAAAAGCATCCTGTGTTCACTGTTTGGAAGACTAAATTTTGCTAATATGACATACCACCAAAAGTGATCTAGAGATTCAATGCAATCTCTATCAAAATTCCAACAAATTTTTTTTTTTACAGAAATGGAAAAGTCAATACTCTAATTCATATGGAATTGCAGGTGCACTGAAGAGCCAAAACAAACTTGAAAAAGAACAAAGTTGAAGAACTAACATATCTCAATTTCAAAACTTAACTGCAAAGCTAAAGTATTCAAAACAATGTGGTACTGGCATAGGATACACATATACACAAACAGAATGGAAGTGAGAGTCCAAAAACAAATCCTCAAACACATGGTCAATCATTTTGACAAGGGTGCCAATACCATTCAATGGCAAAAGGATAATCTTTTCAACAAATGGCACTGAAAAAATTGGGCATTCACATGCAAAAGAATGAAGTTGGACCCTTACCTTACACCATACACAAAAATTACTCAAAATGGACTAATGATCTATAGCTAAAACTATAACACTTTTAAAAAAATACAAGGATACAGCTTTAAGACCTTGGATTTGGCAATGATTTCTTCAACATGATACCAAAAGCACAGGCAAGAAAAGAAAAAATAGATAAATTAGACATCATTAAAATGAAAAAAAAAGTGTACATCAAAGGGACTATCATGAAATTAAAAAGGTAACCCACAAAATGGGAGGAAAAAAGACTTCAAATCATGTATCTAATAAGGGATTAATGTCCAGAATATATGAAGAACTCTTACAACTCAACAATAAAAAACAAATAATCCAATTTAAAAAGGGACAAAGGACTTGAAGGCAATTCTCCAAAGAACATATGCAAATGGCAATGAGCACATGAAAAAATATTCAACATCATTAGTCTTTAGGAAACGCAAGTCAAAACAATGAGATACCACTTCACACCCACCAGTATGGCAATTATCAAAAAATTAAAACTAACAATTGTTGACAAGGATGTGGAGAAAATGGAACTCTTATTAAGTGCCGGTGGAAATTTAAAATGGTGCAGCCACTGTGGAAAACAGTTTGGCAGTTCCTCAAAACGTAAAACATAGAATTACCACATGACCCAGCAATTCCACTCCTAGGTATATGTCCAGAAGAATCGAAATCAGGGACTCAAACATATTTGTACACTAACGTTCATAGCAGCATTATTCACAATAGCCAAAAGTGTCCATCAGCAGATGAATGGATAAGCGAACAATGGAATAGTATTTAGCTATAAAGAAGAATGAAGCTCTGATACATGCTACACCATGGATAACATTTAAAACACTATGCTATCTGAAATAAGCCAGACACGGAACGACAACTATTTTATGATTCCACTTATATGAGGTATCTAGAATAGGGAAATTCATAGAGACAGAAAGTAGAATAGAGGTTACCAGGGCCTGAGGAAAAGGGGAAGTAGGGGTCACTGCTTAGCATGGGTACAGAGTTTCTGTTTGGAATGATGAAAAAGTTTCTGTGACTAGATAGTGGTAATGTGAATATACTTAAGCCACTGAACTGTACACTTAAAATAGTTAAAATGGGGAGGGGGGTGGACCTAATCTATGGTCATAGATATCAGAGCAGCGGTTGCCTTGTGTCGGAAGTAGACTATAAATTGACTGAAAAGGGGCACAAGGAATCTCTCTGAGGTAATGGAAATGTTCTATACCTTGATTCAAGTGTGGGATATGACAGTATATACATTTGTCAATACTCATCAGAATATATTTTCTTTATGTAAAATAAAGTAATTCAGTTTTTAAAAAGGGGGTTCAGACTGCGTTGTATCATCCCTCTGCCCGTCCTTTTTACTCTTAACAAAAACACAGACAAGATAGCTGGTCTGCTGCAGACCTCTTATAATCAATAATGAAGGAATTATCAAAAGAATTGCTGAGATCTTGGTCCTCACATCCCTTAGTCCCTTAAATAGTTCTAAAGTTCCTAATTATACACTTCTTATTAGGTGATAAAAAAAATAAAACTATTATCTCTTCAAACCACTACTATTTGGGTTTTACATTATATGGAGAAAAACTCAATCTCTGACAAAGCTAACTAGATAATAAAATATTAATACTCTGTGTAAACGTGTATGAAAGTAAAGGTGAAGATTTAAAAACATGTTAAAATAATTCATTTCATCAATAGGTTGAAGGCGAAAAACCCTATAATCATCTCAACAGTTGTATTACTTCAACATACACAATCAAGGCATTTGTTAAAACTCAATAATCTTTATTGTTTTGTTTTTTTTTTATTTAGCAAACTAGGAAGAGAAAATGTTTTATCAACATGACAATCAATATACATCTCAAAGCAACAGCCAACAACATGCTTAAAAATTAAATAGAAGAGGCATTAACATTAAAAGTAGGTTCAGAATATAGACACGCCTTAAACTCTAAGACAGTTGGCAGAGCACGGAAAAATCAGTACACTACTTTTAAGTTTCCTAACAGGATTGTTTCCATGCATGGGGAATTCCTTCTGAGAACATATACAGACTCCGAAAGAAAATCTTAGCCCTTGTTGGTTCTAATATCTCTACAGTAGGGTTATATATACTTACAGATAAAGATAATTCTTCACTGTCAGTCTTCGTAACTGATTTTTTTCCAGGTTTAGGGTCAACTCCATAGGTTTCTTCCAAACTAGAAACCACCTACCAAAAATCAAAGCAAGTTAGTATTTTCATAGTTTAAAATTAGTTACAGTAACTGTAAAATGATATTTAATCAACCACACTAGGACCTTTTCATCAGTAAGACCCTTTTTCTGCCAGTGCCATGACCTTTACTTTTCCAATTCTCATGTTCTCATCTAATCTCCCATGAAAGAGAGGCTGTGATCAAGTCTCTGACACTACGCCTCAGTAATACAGAGACGGCTTCTGACTCTGCTATTTGTGTTGACAGGTATCTAAAACAGAGTGGGTCTGTCCATGAATGGCTGAAGCATCAACTCCACTTACTACCAAAGTTTTTCTCAAATTCTGCCTGATTTTACCTCCTCCTCTAAAGAGTACAAAAACAAATGGAGACCAGAAAGCAATACATTTTTAAAGGAAATTTCCTGAACTAAACCCTCAAACTTTGAGGAAACATGTTTTGGAAGTCTGACAAACTATATTCTTTTTATATTTATGTTCTTACTCATTGTTCTTGCCTGGTACTCAGTACACTTACAACTCAATTCCAGCTCACTGTGCAAAAAAAAACTCAGAGAAAGGGGATTCTTGTCAACACTAAGAACTAGTTTCTAAAGTGCAGAGAAGAGTTAACATAGCAGACATGAGACTGCTATTCTTAGAAAGGCCTGGCTGCAAGGTTGGCCTTTGTCCGCCATCCAGAAACTTGGATTTCAGAAGCATTCTAACCATTCCCAGAATTGATGAGTAGTTCACTGTGTCTACATTGTTTGTACAAACAATGTGGTTTACGCTGAACATCTGCTTTCCTTCTCCTTCTGAGAGTCTGGAATTTTTGGGTACATACTATGCAGAGAGTACAGACTTGACCAGCACCCAATAAAAAAATTGGGCACTGAATCTCTAATAAGCTTCCCTGGTAGACAACATGGCACAAACGTTGTCACAATACAATGCTGGAAGAATTAGGGCATCCTGTGTGACTCCAAAGGGAGACTACTCTTGGAAGCTTGCACCTGGTTTCCTCCAGACTTCAAATCATGTGCTATTTCTCTTTGCTGGTTTTGCTTGAATCCTGAAACTATAATAAATCTTAGTTGTCATTATGACTATACGCTGAGTCCTGTTAGTCCTCCTAGCAAATCGCCAAACCTAGGGGTAGTATTGGGGACCCCTGACACAGGGATCAACAAGTGTCTTACCATACTTAGATGTTTGGCAGCTTTCCTGATGATTTCATCTTCTGCTATTAACTGCCTTGTCTTAATCGATGGAATGGGCAAAGCGTATCTTACAACGGATTCTCCTGTTGGTGGAGAACGTAGGACCATAGGTTCAATTTTATCCTGTACTGATTTTACATTATGTTTTTCCTTTGGATTAGGTGACACTGATGAAATAAATTGTCTTTTTTTATTATCTAATTCTGAAACAAATGCCAATTTGTTACTAATAGAAGACAGACGCTTTACTCGCTTCATTCTGTTATTGATTTAGCTTCCAACTTATAGATGAAAAGATTTTATTCCTTCCTGTGAATAAAACATTAAAAGAGAATCAGGGAATTTTATTACTCATCAAAAATAAATTTGTGCTAATTAAATTCACATTCTACATTTTTTTTCTGATGCTTTAGTAGTTTATTCAGAGTAAATCAAGAAAATAATAGGAGCACTGGTGGCACAGTGTTAAGTGCTCAGCTGCTAACCAAAAGGTCAGAGGTTTGAACCCACCAGGTGCTCCATGGGAGAAAGATATGGCAGTCTACTTCCATAAAGATTACAGCCTTGAAAACCCCATGGGGAAGTTCTACTCTGTCCTATAGGATAGCTGAGCTGGAATCGACTCAACAGCAATGGGTTTGTTTTGTTTTTGTTTTTTTCCCTTTGTTTATAAAAATAATAGTAAAAGCTCCATCATCTTCAAACTAACATATGCCCTTTATATACATCACTATTCTCATTTTATGTGTGAGTAAACTGAGGCTCAGAGAATTGACTAGTCAAGAGCTACACAGCTAGTAAGTGTCAAAGCTGGAATTTCAACAGTCTAACTACAAATCTTGCTTCTTTTCCACACTGCTACAAAATGGAAATTTTGGGGTTTTTAAATTTTAGGATTTACAGTAGTTTTTGTAAGTGATGGGTGGGGAAATAAAAAGATTTCACATTTTAAATGATAGAAAGATTTCAATTGCTACAAGATGGTAAATCTCAAAATCAACCCTGGAGGAATATTCCTACCAAAAAATAACAACAATAAAATTTAAAAAAAAAGAAATATGTGAGAAACCTCTGGAGGTGACTAAAGGCTGATGTGTGTATGGAGTATGGAGGGTTTAGAAAGGAGGATGTAAAGAGAGAAGGCACAGGCAGAGGCAGCGTGAGGGAACATATTAAGAAGCACTTGTAAATTTTATTCCCACCTTTCCCCCATACCCAGGCTCAGGGTACCAACGTAACACCAAGGAGGCACGGAAGCCACACCGGAATAAGGAAGTACAGGTGGACAGGCCATAGGCTTTTACTCGTCTTCTTCTTCCTCTTCCAAAGCTGACTGACTATGATTCAGGACAATGCCTTCTCCCAACATGTTTAAAACTATATGCCTGACCATGAGAGTTGTCTGGGAAAGTGGTAAAAATAACATAGACAAACACTGTTTCTCTGTTGTATGAAGCTTTACACACTTAGGCTATTCCTGTGCCCTCTCTAAACTTTCTGTGAGGGACACAGATGAGGGCCTCATTCTGGCCATTTCTTAATAATAAATTACTAGATAGAGTAGTTGACACCCCAAAGCAAATAGCTACTCATAGGCCAGACTAACCTGACACCTGAAAAATACAGTAACTGAAAAATAAAAACTAAAATATTATGTCCCAGCTGCAGAATAATTAGAACTGAGAGACCAAGAATACAGAAAGAGAAGGAAAAAATTAGCCATACAAAGCAAGTACAAGAAATATTTTTTAAATACCCATTGTTGTCGAGTTGACTCCAACACATAGCGACCCTACAGGACAGAGTAGAACTACCCCATAGGGTTTCCAAGGCTGTAAATCTTTACAGAAGCAGACTGCCACATCTTTGTCTCACGGAGCAGCTGGTGGGTTTTGTGGTGGGTTTGAACTGCTTACCTTTCAGTTAGCAGCCAAGCACTTTAACCATTTTACCACCAGGGCTCCTTTTAAAGAAAATAAGTTTATAAAACATAATACCCACTCAATAGAATGACTAAAATTAAAAAAAAAAAAAAATCACCACCAAGCATTGGCAACTATTTGGAGTAACTGAAAATTTCACACACTGCTGGTGGAAATAAAAATAGGTACAATACTTATAATACTTTTTGGCAGTATCAACTAACACAGAACATATAGATACTCTATGACCCAGCAACTCTACATATGTATGCACACCAATGATGTGCAAAAATGCTCGCAAAAGCTTATTCATAACTGTTCCAAACTGAAAATATTCCAAATGTTCATCAATAGTGGAATAGACAAATTGTGGTAAATTTATATTTAATGGAGTACTATGAAAAAATGTGATGAAAAACATTAATCTATACATCCTACAAGCTCAACAAACACTACCCATTGCCAATTGCTGTCAAGTTGAATTCTGACTCACAGTGATCCTACAGGACAGAGTAGAACTGCCCCATAGGGTTTCAAAGGCTGTAATCTTTATGGAAGCAGATCACCACATCTCTCTCCCATGGTGCGGCTGGTGGGTTCAAATGGCCAACCTTTTGGTCAGCAGTCCAGCACTTAACCACTGCTCCACCAGGACTCCTCAACAAACACTAAGATAAACTCAAAGAGATCCATACGAGGACACACCATAATCAACCTGGCAAAAGACAAAGAATCTTGATAACAATAAGAGAGAAGCAACTCATCGCATATAAGGGATACTCAAAAAAATTAAGAGCTGACTTCTCAGCAGAAAACACAGAGGTCAGAAGGCAGTGGGATGACATATTCAAAGTGCTGAAAAGAAAAGACTGTCAAAAACGTATTCTATATCCAGAAAAACTATCCTTCAAAAATAAAGGAGAAATTCTGGGTCAAGGCCTTAAGAGATGCTGCACATTTCTGCTCACCCCTTTGGAAGCTGCCAACCTCTTTCTCAACAAGAACATGTCTGAGCTAGACACTGCCCTTCCAATCTGAGACACAAAAACATGTAGAGTTACTCCCACCAACCTACAGATGCATGGGAAATAAATAAATGTTTATGAGTGATGTCGACAAGATGGCAGACCAAGAAGCTCCATGCTCCCATACCCTCACAGGATAATTAAAAAAAAAGCTGAAACTATCAGGATCAACTTAAGTCATAATTCTAGAAAGCATCAAATGTTTACAGCTACCAAGTGGATCTTGAATCAAGAAAAAAGACACTTGAAAATGGTAGAAAATATAGTAGCATTGGATTATAGCCCAAAGTATTAAAAAAAAAAAATCCATGAGTCCATTCTGATATAAATAAATGACAGAACAAATAAATAATGGTGGAGAATAGACAAATCTCGCATGGAGAAGAATTCTAAACAATTTATGTAAATACTCCATCCTCAAGGAGGTAGAGCATAATCCCTAATCCTTAAGTGTGGACTTCACATAATAACTTTTTTCCAAAGAGTGTATTATGGAAAAGGGAGAGAGTAAAATGTTTATCCCCGACATAAAAAAAAATGTGGTATAAACATACAATGGAATATTACTTAGTCATAAAGAGAAATGAAGTCTTCATACGTGCCGTAACATGAACGAACCTTGAAAACATTATCCTGAGTGAAATAAGTCAGTCACAAAAGGCAAAAATACAGAAACCAAAGCTTATTAGTGGTTACCAGGGATAGGATGGAGGCGGGAAAGGGGTTAAACATTTTGTTTAACCTCTCATTTACAGTGGATGTCATGGACTGAATTGTGTTCCCAAAAAAATCTGTGTCAACTTGGCTAGGCCATGATTCCCAGTATTGTGTGATTGTCAACCATTTTGGCATCTGATGTGATTTTCCTACGTGCTGTGAATTCTACCTCTGTGATGTTAATTAGGCAGGATTAGAGACAGTTATGTTGATGAGGCAGGACTCAGTCTACAAGATTAGATGGTATCTTAAATCAATCTCTTTTGAGATACAAGAGAGATAATCAAGGAGAGAAACAGGGGACCTCATACCACCAAGAAACAAGAGCCAGGAGAACAGCGCGTCCTATGGACCTGGGGTACCTGCACTGAGAAGCTCCTCAACCGGGAAAGGCTGATGACAAGGACCTTCCCCCAGAGCCCACAGATAGAGAAAGCCTTACCCTGGAGCTGGCACTCTGAATTTGCACTTCTAGTCTCCTAGACTGTGAGAGAATAAATTTCTCTTTAAAGCCATCCAATTGTGGCATTTCTGTTATAGCAGCATTAGATGACCAAGACAGTAGAGAAACCTGTCAAACACTATCGCAGCCAGGTAATCAAGGTCACTTTCAATAGTCATAAATCATGATATGATGCAATAAAATGGCACTTACCTCTGTGGTCTTCCTCCCAGAAGCACATAAGCCCAGTGTAATCATGAGAAGATTAGACAAATCCCGAGGAGCATTCCAAAAGATATCAGACCAGTACTCCTCAAAAGTGTGAACATCATCTAAAACAAGGAATGTCTGAGAAATTGTCACAGCCAAGAGAAGCCTAAAAAGACACCACAACTAAATATACTATGGAATCCTGATGGAATCCTGGAACAGAAAAAGGACATTATAGGTAAAAACTAAGGAAATCTGAATGACTGTATGGACTATAATTAGCAACAATGTATCAATATTGGTTCACTAATTGTGACAAATGTACCATCCCAATGTAAGATGTTAATAAAGTGACAACAAAATAAATAAATAAAATATATCTGCACACATCATTTTTCCCTTGGTAAAGGGGTATTAATGCCTTCTCCAGGCTGCTGCCAAAGACTCTTCTCCATCAGCTATACTCTCTTTCCTATATTTTTATCTTCTCCCTCTCTATTGCTATACCCTCACCAACATTTAAACTTGCTCCAGCCTCATTTCAATAGAAATTTTTTTATAAAAAATCTCATAAGCCCCTCTGTCTAGCACCTTCACTCTTGTGACTTTCTTTCACATCCAAGAATACTGAAAGAAACATACATACTTGGTCTTAATCTTCCCACTTGCTTTTTGCTTGCCAAATCACTATCAACTTGTTTTCTGCCTTTCATCAAAAGTCTTTTTCCCTAAAGTCACTGTTATAGATTGAATCATGTCCCCCTAAAACATGTGTTGTAAACCCTAACCCCTATACCTATAAGAAAACTCATTTGGGAATGGGTTTTTGGGTGTGTGTGTTTGTTATATTAAGAGGCTATATCAGTGTAGGGTATGTTTTAAGTCAATCATCTTTGAGATATAAAAAGAGTAGATAAGGACCAGCAAGCAAGCAGAGATGGG